AGGCAATTTTTTTAAACTTATTTTTCGAGACAGGGTTTCTCTGTTAACAGCCTTGGCTGTCCTGGAACTTAGAAATCCGCCTGCCTCTGCCTCCCCAAGGCTGGGATTAAAGACGTGGGCCACCACTGCCCAACAATTTAAATTTTAACAGACGGGAAAATGTCACTTCCTCTATCGCCTTAGGTCCACTTTTTTTTTTTTGGTGGCCGGCCACCTTCCACAGATAAACAGAAGCGGGCACCAAAAACATTTTTCTTCAACGAGAAATCTCTAAACTTTAAACAGCCAGCCAGGTCCAGAGGCTATAATCACAACACTCTGGAGGTTCTCTGACGTTTACCATCTGGCTGGGGCCAGCCTGAGCTATACAGGGAGTTCCAGGCCAACCTGGGATACACAGCGAGACCGACCTAATCAGTCTCAAAACACAAACAGTTGCTAGTGTCCTTCTTTTCACTTAACCAAACCTAATGTGAAGATTTTTTTTTTTTGAGATAGTCTCTCTACACAGCCCCTGGCTGTCCTGAAACTCACTATGTAAATCAGGCTGGCCTCAAACTCAACAGAGTGCTGGGATTAAAGGTGTATACCACCACACAGCTCAAAAGTAAGGTTCGGGTTTTTTGTTTGTTTGGATGGTTGGTTGTCTTAACTCTGTAGACCAGGTTGACCTCAAACAGAAATCTGCTGCCTCTTCCTGCTGAGTGCAGGAGTGCTAAGATTAAAGGCGTGCACCAGCACTGCTGGCCTCAAATATAAGGTTTTAATAAAATATTTTTAAGTGTCTTTCACTAACCTGTCTCAAATGTCAACTGTACATTAAAGCACAGAATAAAAAATAAACACCAAAAACCCATGCCTTAAAAAAAGCCACTCGTGAGTTAGATTCAGATTATCTATGAGGGTAATTCTGAAAGGCTGACACAGCCAAAACCCTTGAATCAAGAGGCTTCCAACTGCTGTTATGTATTTCATCCAGAAACATTGTAAGACAACCAAAACCCACGCCATCAAACCGTAGACAACAGGAATAAAGTCCCTCCAAATTTAGTGATGGGAATCCCAAATCTTCCCTGCTTTACTAACAGAGTAAAATTTCATCTTTCTAATGTGGGTAAGAAAACCTAGGATTAAGAAATTCAGTGCTTTGTGCTATGCACGCGTGGGTTCGAATCCCATCCTCGTCGCCAAAAAAAAAAAAAAGAAAGAAAGAAAGAAATTCAGTGCTGGAGAGTTGGCTCAGTGGTTAAGTGCACTGGCTGTTCTTCCGCAAAGGATCTGGGTTTAATTCCTAGCACCCACATGGCAGATCACAGCTGTCTGTAACTCCAGTTCCAGGGGATCTTACACCCTCACACAGACTTGCAGGTAAAACACCAATGCACAGGAAATAAATAGATAAATAAATCTTAAAAAATAAGGAAGTGTTGGGCGATGCAGCCTTTAATCCCAGCGCCCAGGAGGCAGAGGCAGGTGGATCTCTGTGAGTTCAAGGCCAGCCTGGTCTACGAGAGCTAGTTCCAGGACAGGCTCCAAAGCTACATAGAAACCCTGTCTAGAAAAAAAAAAAAAAAAAAGGAAAGAAACTAATTTTTTTCTAGCAATACAGTAAATTTATGGATCTGTAAAATTCAATTCTATGTGCAAACTAAAATGGATGGAATTTCCTCCAAATACTAAAGAAAACAAAGACAACCATTTTTTTTTCATTTAATTTTGCAGGCTAACATCCTTTTGACTAAAAAAGTTACAAATTGCTTCTATTATAAACTTTTTGTTGTTTTGTTTTCCAAGACAGGGCTTCTCTGTGTAGCCCTGGCTGTCCTGGAACTCACTCAACAGACCAGGCTGGTCTTGAACTCACGTAGATCCGCCTGCCTCTGCCTCCCAACTAAAGGTGTGTTCCACAAGCAGCTTCCACAAAAGTGCTGTAGAAAGCCCTGGGGGCTATTTTTCAGCCTCCTTTAGTTGTTCAGCCCCTAACTCCAAACTGTGTGCTGCTTGCTTTCTGAGTAAATGCAAACTTATTTCTGAAGGTGGTTTAGCATGTTCTGAAAAGATTTAGTGACTCAATCACTCAAGGTTTCTACAGTTCATTTTAAGAAAGTCGAGAATATTTCCTGTCATGCACGGAACAACCCTTCACAGATTTTAAGGTGCTGAGTTCAGAAAATTAAACTTATAAAATAGGAATCAAATTGGGATACATTCTTTTTTTAGCATTTTTCACCCTTGGAAAAGAGACCTAGTTTTCATTTTAGTCATTGGAAATTTAGGAGAAAATATTAACCCGATTCATTTTAAATCAAGTAAAAGTAAAGAACTACTATCAACCTGCCTTAAAAAAAAAAAAAAAAAACTCAAACTTTGAATTACCCGGGGCAAAGAGCAATAAGCATCTTTCATATGTTGTTAATAGCAACATTTTGTTTTGCTGAGACCAGTTGACAGTAAACTGTGCAAGGTTTAGGTCTCACTCTCCTAGAAAAAGGCCTCTGGGGTAGGTGTAAGGAAAGTTTCATTCTCTTGCAAAGTAAATCAAATCATTTTCCTCTCTTTGAAAGTCTAAATGGCCCCTCCTTCATTTACCCAATTTCCTGGAAGCAAATACAAGTAAACAAATGCTGCATACCTGTTTTTAAAATGCTTTGGGTCCTTCTCCTTTGTACCAATGATTGCCAGTGAATAGATATAAACTCTAGGCCAAAATTGCCAACCAAATTTCCAGCACAGAGCGAGTTGGTTAAGATAATAGTGAAATTTAACATCTCTCATATTTAAAATTCAAACTTGTGGTTTGATGCTAGGACTAATTGGGTTTTTAAAAGGCATAAATCATATCAAATATATTCAAAGGAACAACAAAATACAGTAATACTTTCAAATCACAATGCAACTGAGTGTGTCAAGAGTTCAATTTTAAACACTGAAAACACAGCACACACAGAAAAAAGACACCTCTACAGGTGTTCGTTTGCTTCGGATGTCAGTCCCAACTAAAAGCTTGAAAACTCCAGTGACAAACTCAAATGAGGGAGTTACGTTCAGACACAAACTAGACAAACACCACAAAATGATTCCTCAAAGAACACAAAACAGCAAACTGACTTAAAAAAAAACAAACTATTTTTTTAAACCCCAGGACGTGAAAAATTGGTTCATGTTAGAAATATTCTCTTCTGACATCACTCAGGAGGGGAGAAAAAAAGACAACCAGTTCAATGTTTGTCTCAAATTTTTCAGTAATGGGGAGAACACACAAAAGATGGAATTTAGTATAGATGTGAAAAGAGAAAATTAAAGAGCCGCCTTCTCACTGATCCCCTTTCCATTCCAACCCAAAGGAGCTAGTAATAGCTCCTAGTAACGCATTTTGGAGGGAACAAGGAGCCTAGACAGAAATGCCTTAAAAGCAAGCAGATGGCTTGAAGAGAGAGATTCACAAATACAGGGCACCATGAAAATTAAAATATAAATGTTTTGAGTTCCATTTTGCCACATTTTCCTATCTCTCTTTCCTTCTTCGGCTTTAAATTCTAAACCATTCTCAAGAGCAGAGGGGGGGGGGGGGGGGAATGATCACACATTTCACAATTCCAGGTATTAGATTTACCACCAAAACAGCTTTGAATTTAATATCCATAACATAACCTTCAAATAATTTAACTCAATTATTTTCATCTCCCCAAAATTTTTCAAAATGACTTCTTTCCTTCGTGCCTCTTTTGCCTCTAGCTGTTAAGAACCTTCCCAGTAAGTTTCTCAAGCACCTGACAACAAATCACACTCTATAAACAGAGACACAAGCCATATTGATCATCCATAGATACAATAATTCAGTTACTTAAAAATCAGAAGCCAAACCACAGAAGAGTTTATCTCCAGGCTAAAGTTCCTACATTATTAAAAATACCCCCCACACAAAAGCACAGCACCTTCCCACCCAGGAAGGGCCAAAATCTGTTCAGAAATACAGGAAGTTGAGAGAGGGGTTGAAGGGATTAAAATATACTGAGGGCTGCTCCCAACTAAGCACAGGAAAGAAAACCGCACGGTCAACCATGTTCCAAAAGTCTGCTATGAGAAACACGGCCCTTACACTCTACAGCCAGAGTTCAAGCAAAGACTTCAGAATTCAAGGCAGGCTGGGAAAGGCACCCTGAATCTTAGGGGAGCAAGATGGAGATACCCCATTTTGCTGGAAAAAGACGGAACACAGGGTAAAAGGAACTCACATGAGAACACACACACACCCATTCATCCCCAGAGTTCTAGACCCTCCAAAGAGCCCCAGCTCACAGCCTGCTCACAAAGCTCTCACCCCAGATGGTCCCTCGTAACAATGGGCTGAAGGAGTGGGGGTGGGGGGGCTGGAAAGGGATAGTACAGCCAAAGCATATTCTTTGCAAATGCAGTTCAAGGGGCAATATAAGATGTGAGGGGCTGGGGAGGAGGGTCTCTGAGGGGGCAACAAAATCCGTGCCTGTAGCAGAAATTAACACAGTATAAGGAGATTCTAATGGGGGTAGCTTGGCTGTTCATTATTTCAGCCCCAACTGGAAAAGGACTCCCTTGAATCCACGTTCAAATTATGACGTGAATAAGAAAAACAGAAAAAAAAAAAAAACGAGGCCTGGCAGGAAGTTGAAGAAATCACCCCCGCCATGAGTTTGAACTTTCCGTATTTAAGCTTCCCAACAAAAATGGTCCCACACTTTGAACTAACTCCACGGTACTTCTTACCCTATCGATTTTTTTTTTCTCTTTAATTTCTTCAAGTAACATCTTTTGGCCCACCCCAGTCCCAAGTTGTAGATTTGTTAATTTTTTTTTTTTTAGGCTGTAAAACAACCATTACAAGATCTTGGCCAATCTTCTCCCAGCCCCCAACATCCGGAGTTGGAGGTGGAAAGGCCAGTAATGGGTTTATTCCACTGGAGACGCTAATATTAATATTCCTTAATATTCCTCTCAGTTCCCCCAAATGAGCTCTTTCCTACCTTTGTTTTTTGGGGACCGAGTGTTCAATCTCTAGTCGTTTTCCTTGTAGTTCCACTTTCCCTGAAGATTAAAAAAAAAAATGAATGAGGGTAACAGTGGGGGATGGGGAGAAAGGTTGGGTAAGGGACATTAGCTAAATTCAAGAATTCCTGGGCCTCCTAGGATCTAGCCTATAGCTGCCCAAGGCTGTGTGGGGAAAGGTTGCTCCAGGCATGATAAAAACCCGTAATTTCGTTGTTTTTCAAATTTTCGTTTTATTTCCACTAATCACGTGGGCTAGTTGAACAGACTGCTCTGAGAGCCAGATTTAGGAAAGGTGTGAGAGCGTTTGTGCGAGCGCGCGGCTTCTGCGACTCCCAGAAGTAGAAGGAAGGAGCCAGGGGGACGGAGCACCCGGTTTCTCAATGTGGGGTGGGAGCAGAGTATCCAACTTTATGTTCCGGCCAAGCCACGGAGCACAGCTTCGGCGACAAGGCGTCACCTGTCGGGGCCGGAGGGCGAGCGGAGGCCCCCGGAGGGGGGGGCGGTAGGGAGGGTCCCTGGCGGCAGCCGCGCGCCTCTCGGCTCGGCCTTGGCGTCTCGGGAAGCAGCATGGCGACCCGGCGCCGCCGCGCCACCCGGCTCACGCCCCACTTTCAAATCAAAATGGCTCAAGCCCCAGGCCTTGGGCGGGAGGCGGGAGCCCCTTCCTCCTACGTCCTGTCTCAGGGCTTGTCACGAGAAGAGCGGGAAGACACCCGAGGTGCGGGAACACCCCTCTTGGAAAGACCTAGGAGGGCGAGCATGGGCGTGGGGGGGCTTTCAGCGGAGGGGGGTTGGGGGGCAACGGGGAAACCACGCCTAGACCCGGACCCCGGTGTCCGCGAGACCCCCACCCTCACCAGTTGCCAACCGGGGCTCCCGCCCCGTCGGTGGGGAGGGGGCCAAGGAGCCACGAGCGTCCCGGGCGGGGGGAAGGAAATCCCGACTATGTCTGCGTGGGGAGGGGGCGTCGAGGGAGGTCGGTCGAGGCAGGGTACCGAGGCCGAGCCCCGCGGGTCCGGGAAGAGTTGGCGAGCATGGAAAAAGAGGAGCTGCAGGTCTCCGTTGTTCGGGATTTCGTTGTGTGGGCTTTTTTTTTTTCCCCCAGGGAGGTGGCCGCGCTCTTACCCGAGAAAGTTTCGATGGCCTTCATCGCCCAGTGCTCGTCGGGGCAGTCCACGAAGGCGTAGCCGGATTTGACCAAGAACTGGCCGCTGTAGGAGATCTTGTGCTCCGCAAATACTTTCTCCAAGTCGGCTGGAGTCACGCTCTCGTTGAGGTTGCCGATGTAAAGCTTGTTCATGGTGGCGGTGGCGGGGCAGGACGCGGTCCCGGGCAAGGCCGAACGGGCGGGCGCGGGCGGAGAGCCTCCTAGGCCGAGAGGCGTGGAGGAGGGCGGCGGGAGCTGCAAACTTTCTACGCACCCCACCCCTGAAGTTGTCCGGAGCTCCGGGCGGGTGGGCGGCCTGAGGGCACACGGAGGTCACGGGAGAGTTCGGGTTAGCCCTGGAGAAGTGCCCGCGGAGCGCAGGGAAGTGGACGACGCGGCGCGCAGCTCCTTCCCTTCGGTCCGAAACCCCTGCGAGCGGGCTGGTGTGTCACGTTTCTCCGCGGCCGCCCTGGCGCCGCCTCTAAATAAAATCGACTAGGGAAAAAAAAAAATGGAGCGGAAAAAAAAAAAGGCGAAGCCACGTGGTGACAGCCCCCACCCACCCTGCAGGGAAAGACCCCCCGACGCCACCGGGCCCCTTGGCCCTCCAACCTGGATCAACCCAACAGTCTCAGGTCTTGGGGAGTACTCAGCGCGCCCCCGGAATAAACCAGGAAGGTGGAGAGAGTCCCCGAAGCTCTCCTCGCCCCCTCCCCCTTTGCAAGAACCTGGCCCCTAAGGCGGCGCCCCGCCCCCACCCATCTTGCCACTTTGACCTGCAATGGGGGAGGGTGGTGGCGACCCAAATCTCCCCAGTCTTTAGGACTAAAATGTGCGGTTTTTTTTTTTTTATTCGTTTTGTGAAGAGTGGGTTGCCCACCCCACCCCGGTAAACTGCGAGCGACTGACAGGCGGGGAACGGCCGAGACAGACAAAGAGAAGCTGAGGACTCTGGGGTCTTCAGGAGGGGGTCGCAAGAACCGGTTATTTACAAGGAAAGACGCCTTCCCTCCACATTTCTAAGTAGGGGGTCACAGTCTTCCCCGCCACACCCCCACGAGACTTCCCTTGGACTCCCGGGTCCAGATCCCGGGGACCCTGATTGCGCGGGACCAGGAAGCTGAGAAGACGGGGGACAGCGCCTGGGAACGAGGGACCCGCAGCACATCGTGTTTCGGGATCCCCACTGGTGGAAAGCTGGCTCGCACCCAGTCCAGCTGCTGGATGACAACACTCCAGCGTTCTTGGGGGGAAGCCCGCGGCTCGAGATCACCCCCAAAGGACCAGCGGGGTGGGGGACAACGATGAGGAGGGGTGGTAGCTTCACCGAGAGCCAGCGAACCAAAGGGGGGTTGGTTTCAGAAGGGAGTGACCGGGTGGAGACCTGAGAGTCCCCTCGCCCTCCCCACGCCAGGAGCGGACAGGTGGAGTCGCCTGCGTCCGCTCCACCCGAGATGTCAAGAGCGGCTGTCCACGCGCAGGGTTTGGGTCTCGGAACTTAGTTTGGGGTACTAGATTTTGGAAGGCCGCCGTGGGGTGGGGAGGGGGGGGCGAGGCCCCGCCCACGTCCCCAGGTCAGCCCCGAGCGGGGAGGGGGTAATTTCCGCTCGGCGCTCGAGGAAGCGCGAGGCGGGGGAGGGGGCTGCGGCCCTCCTTCTCACCCCCCCCATGGGGAGGGGGAAGTGGATCCGCCCAGGTCCCTTCCCTCGGCCGGGACCGACGCGTTCCGGATCCTCCGGCTCCAGGAGCTTGAGGGAAAGAGCGGAGTGGGCAGGGGGCGACACGTGGGCGTTCGCACCCCGTCTGCGCGGTGGGGGAGGGGTCCGCGCGCTGGAGTCCGGGACACGCAACGGAGCGCGGGATGTATTGCACGCGCAATCCCGGGATCCCCGGCTCGACGCGGGGAACACCGAGTTTCCTGCGGCGGAGGCTGGGGCTACGCCAGCGGGTGTTGAAGAGCGCAGCCCGGGGACTCGGGAGAAGCCCCCTACCCAGCCGTCGTGACGAAGGGGGCCGACGACCACTCACCCCCCCCCCAAGAAGGATGTTCCCTGAGCCGCGCGAGTCTGCGGGAGGGAGAAGGGTTGTCTGGGGCACGCGTGCTGCTAGGGCAGGTGAAGAAGGGGGGTCATTCTCCCCTTTCCCCGTCCCGACCCCATTGTCTCAGTCGCCTGCGGCCCGGGCCGGCTCCGTAACACGTGTTGACTGCAAAGATATGAATGGCTTGAATGTTTTTTATTGTTATTTTTTCGTTTGCAGAGTCCGTAAGCCAACTCCGACTTTGGCTCACCTCCCTTCTGCCGGATGATTTCCTACCGTTGGAAAAGTCTGGAGTTAAAACACAACACCCAACACCTTTGTCCCCCTCCTCGTTTTTCCGGCGCGCTGGGAAGAAATGGGGCGGGGGAGGGCTTCCAACTCGGTTTCTGAGTCTTCTCCACCACCTTCAGAATCCACTCTCTGAAATCAGCGTTTTGTTCTAGCCAGCCACGTGTTTGTCGGATTTTTTGTTTTTGTGACATTTTTCTTCCAATGAAGCAACAGGAATTTACTACTACTATCTATTAGTTGCTTCGTAGGAAAAAAAATGTTACTGTCCATGAAGGTGGGAGACAGCTGCGTCTCTGTCCCCACACGCCCTCCCCGACATCTCCCAGCCCCCACCAACTTCGTATTTTGTCAGCTCCTGAACACAACGTAATTTTTAACAAACTAAGCCAATGAGCTGGAAACAGTGCCTACCACATAGTGCCTACCACATAGTAGGCACTCACAGCAAACATTTTGAATGAAAAAAGAAAAAAACAAAACTGCAGAGTAAAGAGAATTGAAGAAAATTAAAAGTCCAATGGGGAGGGATTCTCTTGGCTAGAATGTGTGGATCTGCTGCCTGCGGACTTTGTAGATTTTTGCAAAGGGCCAAAAGATGGTCTCAGGAGCTGTCTGTAATAGCCTTTGGATCTTCATAAATAGTAACTCTGTCTCCAAATCTTTTGTTATATTGGGGAACAAGAAAGAAAGTACCTAGGCAGGACATCCTAGCTCCCGAATTCTTGAGTTGCTGTATGCTTCATTTACTTTAAATCTTTAGAGATTGATTAAGAAAAAAAAAAAAAGCACTTCTCAGATAATCTCTCTGGGTACTCTAACCACTGCTTGCTTGCTTCCTAAAACAAAAGCAATTTAACCCTCAAAAAAAAAAAAAAAAAAACCCTACCCAGACTTCTCCTCTCTCACAAAATACAACTCATCTTTTAGTATCCTAGAGTTCATGAGAAACCAAACTATTAAAAATAGTAATTTAATTCAATTCACTTTTAAGTTGACTTTTTTTAAATTTAAGGTATTACTTAAATGTTAGGGTTTTTTTTTTCTTTAAATGATATTAGAAGGAAAAAATAGAAATTCTGAGTAGGCTACTTCTAGTCTGTTTTCAAAATCTTTTAAAAATTATTTCATTAACAAAGTACCAATTATTTCTATTCACACTGATTCTTTTTCAAAGTTAGCTGTTTCACTAAATTCTAATCCTCTCTCCTCCCTACCCCTTCCCCCACAAGACAGGGTTTCTGTGTTTACAGTCAGAGGCTGCAAAAGTTTTTCAAGAGCCCAGAGCAGCTGGGGTGAGGGGCAGTCCTTAGCCCCCACATGAGTTTAGCATCAGTGACCTGGCTACGTTGGGTTGTGGTTGGGGGAACTAGTGGTGTTGACTGACCATTTATTTATCCCCCTGCTATGAATGTACCCAGCACAAAAATGAATCTGCCAAAAGGTTGTGTCCTGCTAGGGTTCATATTCTTAGGTGGATGAAAGGGATAGAAGACTTTCAACTCCCTTGACTAGTGTTCTGCTTTAGTTTTGATATTAGAGACAAACATGGTGGTTTTTCCCCTATTTTTAGCAAAAGATAAATTTTCACAGTAAAATTAAAGTTTCTGTGTGAGTTAATATATCTGAAGGAGACATTTCTCCTTAATTACATTTATGATGTAAAATAATATTCACAATTATAGTTATTACCTTTCTGGCTTTTTTCTCCTTTTCCTCCTCCTAGTCCATTTCTTTCCTAAAGAAATGTTTGGTCAGCTCCCCTCTTAACTTCAAAACACTGAAACTGGATTCCATTTTAAAGATAGAATTTTGTTCATTTTCCTTCAGTACAAACATGCAGAGAGAAAACGTGTAAAAGAATAAAGCCACTTTTTACATAGTTGAAAACTGAAGAAGCAGTTCCAAAATAAACCAACCATTTTATTATCACACAAAATTCAATGTATTTTCTAGTGTTTCTTGCCAACGTTTTTTAGTTTGTACTAATTTTCTGTTTTATCTTTTTATATCTTTCTTTTTCACTGACTACCATAGCACTTGTTATACTGCCTCAAAGTTTTCATAACTATCTATTTGATTCAGGCTAATAGGTACAAATAATTTGTTATTGTTTATGAAAAGTGCTATACTACTTTTTAAACTTTTGTAAGTAGTGCAGGAGGGAAAATAATGCAGGAGATGTATTTTTATACATAGACTTCTTTCTGCTTTTGTATTGACTCCTTTGGGTAAATCCCCAGTATACATATTATAATTTTAATCTAACATTTAACCATGATTTCTATCTTTAAAAAAAATGATAGGCTCTATAAAAGAGAGGATAAACACATTAAAAAAGAAGAGAAAACAAACCTAGAAAGCTGTTAGGGAAATTTATTAAAATAGAATTCCTTATTTGGTGTTTTCTAATGAATCATAGTTAATTTTGCTACAACTTCTTTCTTATGAAATGCAAAATAAAAGGGAAACATTTCCTGATAACACTGACTTCAAAGTTTTGGAAGTTTTGAGGTTTTTTTGGTCTGAGTTTTATTTTGTTAGTTTTGTTGTTGTTTGCTTGTTTTATTGTTGTTACTGCCTTGGGATGTTTTCTTTCTTCCTGTAGTTTGAAGTGTGGGTCTTTTTAAATGCCTATAAACTTTGAGAAAGTAAATTAGTCCCAGTTTTTAAAAGGACAGGCAGCATTTTCTCCTGTCAAATAAAGAAGGATAATTATGTGTTTAGGATATCTCATGAAATGGAAGAGGACCATAAGCAGAAAAGAACATTTTCCTCATTCAAATCATCATTCACTCAAAGGAATGTTTTTTAATTGTTGAGCT